GTCGTCGTCGTAGTCGTTGTCGTCGGTTGCCGTCGGCGCGGGTCGAATGCACAAGCGGTGGAGGGGGGATAAGGGTGGCCCACGGGGGGGGGGGGGGGGGGGGGGGTGCATGATCGCCGATGCGGGGTGAGAGGGCGCAGGGGGGAGGGAAGGGGAAGGGCGGGGATGGGGGAGGAGGTAGGGGGGAGAGGGGTGTGGGTGTGTGTGGGGGTGCGAGGGGCGGAGGGGGGAGGGGAGGGGAAGGGCGGGGAGGAGGGGAGAGGGGTGTGGGTGTGGTGTGGGGGTGGGGAGGGGGGGGGGGGGGGCGACAGCGCCGATTACGTTGAATGGCAGCGTTGTGTCTGATCGATCGGGGCGCTGATCGGGCGATGCCTCATCCCTCATGAACCATGAGGGACTTATCTAATCACCCTTACCGTCCTCCACCACTGCAAATTTTGGGCAATGGTAACCAGTACACACAATATATATATATTATATATATATATGTTCTGGCGCATCTTGTGGATTCGGCGCAATACAGAACTCCCCGCGCGCGCGCAAGGGGAGGAACGGGGATGGGGGGGGAGCCAGAGTGTTCGGCGTTGGCCGCATCCAGCCCACCAGACCAAGATGACCTTCAAATGGCTTAAGATAGCCCAAACACCCGAACGCACGGTGAGAGGGGCAGTGCATGTGGTGCGGTTTATGTGCATGGTGCAGCCACTGTCAGCCATCGTGGGCCCCAAGCAGCTTATGTAGTGCACTCTCTGTGGTGCAGTCTATGTGGTGCAATATATGCGGTATGTGGTGCAGTCTATGCGGTGCAGTCTATGTCGGCCGTACTGGCCCCAAATGGTGCACTCTGTGGTCTAGGATGTATGTGTTTGGCTCGTTTAGTTGGCTGGTCCGTGTATGAATGTAAATATATGTTAATATTTCACACGCCAAGGCTGGTCGCCGCGGCTCCGCGTCTGGACGCGGCTCGAAGCGTAGTTGCCGAGAGCCGAGAGGGGGGGGGGAAACATGAAACGGCGCGAAGATACGCGTCGCGAAGATAAATAAGCGCAAATATTTGGGGCACGAGTGCCGAATGCCACGGCGCGAAAATAACATGCGCAACGGTAAAATGCGCAAAGGGAAACCAGACACGGCAAGCGAAGATAATCGGCGCGAAGATACGATGCTTAATTACAATTACAATTATTATACCGATGCCGCTTTGGCCCAAATGTACTTGACCGCGCGGTCGAGGTCCTTCAAGGAATGCGGGCGTGAGAGGGCGGCATGGCCGCCCATCGTGGCCGCCGACGCCGCGGCGGCCATGGCAAGGGCCGCGGCGGCGCGACGGCGACTGTGAAACGCCGACAGTGCAGGGCGCGGGCGAGCCAGAGAAAGAAAGCGGCACTCTCGGAGCTCTCGGCGCTACTTGCAGAAGCGTTGCCAGCCCCGTGCTCGGGGGAATCTTGCAGGAACGTTGGCAGCGTTGCCATCTCCGAGCTCTCGGCGCCCGACTCGGTCTGGTGCGCCAGGTCTGTGTCACCTTGCTCGCCGCGCCCGAGGGCCAGGGCGCCGCGCCCCACCGCAGCGCAGCGCGGCGCTCCACCGCGGCGCGGGGCGCGCCGCTCGAGGTCAAGGACGCCGCGCTCCGCCTTGCTCGTCGCGATCGAGGCCCAGGACACCGAGGCATGCGAGCTCGCCCTCGAGCGCATGGAGGAGATGGATCTGCGGATGCGCGAGATGCAGCTGCGCAGGGCAGCGCTGGAGGAGAGGACGGACGCACTGGAGGACCAGCTCCAGCAGGCGAGGGCAATGCTGGGCGCGATGTGGCATGAGCGGCAGGACGCAATAGACACGCACGACGCCACCGAGGCCAGAGCCGTCGATGTCGCCATAGAGGCATGCGAGGACTCGGTCATAGATCGCACCAGGCGACTGATTATGGCAGAGGTGCACTACAACGCCGTGGGGCGTATGATTCGGTATCGTACTCAGCATTCTCAGCCGACCGCGGTCGATGGCCCTGGCGACGACGCCGCCTGGCAGTGAGGGGCGCCCAGTTTAGAGCGCATGTGTTCTTAGATTCCTTTTCAGGCGTTCACGCGCCAGGACTGGTCGCCGCGGGCCGCGGCTCCGCGTCTGGACGCGGTCCGAAAAAGGAACAACAACAAACAATATTGTTAAGCAGTGTGTTCAAATATAAGACCGTCGAATGCCAGGCAAGATAACTGGCGGTGCGTAGCGCGCGCGCCGCTGCTCGCAAGTGCAAGCATTGCTTGGGTTAGGCACGAGCGCGCGCGCTCTCTGAACCCACCCGTGCGCGATAAGGAAGCGCGAAGATAGGAAGATAAGGAAGCGCGAAGATAAGAAGCGCGATGGTAAGAATCGCACAGATAAGGCAGCGCGAAGATAAGGAAGCGCGAAGATAAGAAGCGCGATGGTAAGAATCGCACAGATAAGCAATGCAAATATAAGATGCGCAAAGATGCTGGCCGTTGCGGTTCAGGTTTGCAGCATGGGGTCCAAGAACGCCCCCATCACGCCGCCATTGCACCGCCGTCCCTCGCCGAGCGCGCAGCCGCAGTCGCAGCTGCGGCGGTCCGCTCGGCGCGCGGCCGCGGCGCAGCCGCAGCGCAACCGCAGTCGCAGTCGCAGCCGCGTTCCGCGGCCGCGGCGCAGCCGCAGCCGCTGTCGCAGCCGCAGTCGCAGCCGCGCTCCGCGGCCGCGGCGCAGCCGCAGCCGCCCGCGGCGGCGATCGCCATGCCTCGAGAAGGCCGGCCCGCAGTCTTGCCGTCGCAAGCCCCGAGGAGCTATGCCCGCAGCCTCGGGTCGCAGCCGCAGTCGCTGCCCGCAGCCTTGCCGACGCAGGTCTCGAAGAGAAAAGCCCGCATCCTCGAATCGCAGCCGCAGTCGCAGCCCGCGGCCTTACCGCCGTCGGCGAGGAGGCAAGAAACATCGTCGCGGCGTGCACATAGCTTACGGCTTCATTATGGACCCATGGATCCAAACGTGGGATCGGCCGCTGCAGCGGGAGATGATATCCGACCAGGGCTTACAAGAGGTGAACCCCGCGGACGGGCCCGATGACGAGATCTGGATGGACTCCGAGGACTGGTCCTTTGACGAGATCAAGGGCTAGATCATTGGCGCGCGAACGCCGGCTTTGCTGTGACTGGCAACTGCCGATGTTGACTCGCAACTGCCACTCTGCTCTGTTGTGACGCCGCTCGAGGGCTATACCATCGGCGCAAACGCCGCCTCTGCTAGGACTGCAGATGGAGGGGTGATTGCGATGCTCGCGGGGGCTGGCCTGACCGCGCTTATCATATTAGCTGCAGCGCCCGCGCTGGTGGTTTGAGCCAATAGTGCATACAGTACACTATAAGTTTTAAGTACATTGTATATGGATGGCGGCTCCTCATCACAGCGGAAATCCGAATGCCACGCGCATGAGGTGCGTGTCTTGCAGTCAAGGGAGTGGAACACGACTCTTGCTGCTTATATTGCTAATCGCCGCTGGGGCCCCAGCAAGAGATCGCTGACGAAAAATCCGACCCATGTTCCTCGCTCCTCCAGCCCCCAATTCCAATTCCCAACGCCCATGCTCCCACCGCCATCGCTTGCCACCATTTCCCCTCCTTGTCTTTCCACCTACCCCACCCAGACACTCTTTCTTGCCATCGCCTCCGCCGCTTTATGCGGCGCGCGCGCCACGTAGCGAACGCGCGCGTGCGGGGGCTGGAAAGCGATGATCGCTGCGAAATTTGGAAAGGGTTGACATATCCCACAAGCCCTCTGGGCGTAGGTGGTTTAGGGAGTTTCCTCTTCCAACCTCCTTCTTCCCCTTCGGGGAGGGGTTTACCCCTCCCCCCTTGCCCTCTCCCATGGACCTGGACAGGGCGCCCCGCGAGGTGTCAGAGGGTAGTTCGCCAAAGACGGCTCCAAGAGCGCCTCGGAGAGCCTTTAAGATGAGCTCCAAGATGGCCCAAGATAGCCGAAGATGCCTCAATATGGCTCCGAAGATGCTCCAAGAGGTCCCAAGACCGCCCCAAAGCTCCAAGAGGCCCCCCAAGAGGCAAAATCTTTCAAACACCTTCGGAAAACCAATGATGTTCTGCTTCTCGCCTTTTCGCTTCCGATGGCCATCCGAGGCTTCAAGATGGCCCAAAAATGGCCCAAAAGGGACACAAGAGGGGCCCAAGAGAGCCCCAAGACGGCCCCAAGAGCGCCCAAGAGCGCTCCAAGAGCGCCCCAAGAGGGGTCCAAGAGGCGATTCTGGGGGCTCTATAAAGGGGCAAGGCTAATTAAGGGGCCCCTCTTCTTTGATCGATCTCCTTCAAGATTGCCCCAAGAGGCGCCCAGGAGGCTTCCAGAGGCGCAAAGATTGCCCCCAAGATGGCCCCAATCGGCTCTCAAAAGATGCTCCCAAGAGGGCCCCAAGAGGACCCCAACCCAAAGGACCCCACGACCCCCCCCACCCCCCCCCCCCCCCCCCCCCCCCCGAGGCGCCCAAGACGCCCGAGAGACCCCCAGGACCGCCAGGAGACGCCCAAGAGGCCTCCAAGAAGCGCCCAAGAGATATCCCAAGAGGCTCCGACAGGCATCCAAGAGACCTTTGGCCATTTTGCTCGCCCTCCTCCTCCTCCTGCTCATCCGTCTTCCGTCATCCGTCCTCCTCCTTCTCCTCATCCTCCTTCCCTTCCTCCTCCTCCTATTCATCTTCCTTCTCCCCACTCCCTCATCCATCCATCCAGCATCCTCCGTCTCCTCCTTCCTCCTTCGCACGGTTCGGCTGCCCCCCTCCTTGCTCCCGCACTTCCCTGATCACCTCAACTCGCCTGGGCGTTGTTTCTGGATGGGCTGACGGTGATGCGCGAAGCGTCTAGACTTTTGCAACAGCACCGATTGGACATGCAACGAAATCTGTTTGTCCTACCCGCCCCCCCTCGGCGACACTGCATTGCTGCATCCGCCAATGCCTATGCTAGGATAGACTGCTGTGCGCACGCGCATCACAACGCTCACTCCTGCGACTCCAACTGCGGGATATCGCCGCCGCCATCGTCGTCATCGGCGTTGCCGTCGTAGACCGTCAAACCACGTTTGAGAATATCGCCCGTAAGGGTCTCAATCGCTGTCTCAATGTCGGCGAGTTCCATGGTTTTTGGTTTTTGGTACTGCAAGTGCTTGCGCCCGTCTGCATCCATGCACTGCAGGAATATAGACTTCCTGCGATAATCGAACTTCGCCTCTGGCGTGGGCAATTCAATGCGATCCTCTGGGCGCTTGCGCTTGAGCGGCTTCACAGGCGTTGGCTGCAAGGCCGACGCCGTCGCCACCTTCTGGAGCCATGTGAGATTCTCCACGGTCAGCTCAACACATGGCACCCTCAATGGCATGAGCTCCACGGTCATCTTCATATTGAAGGTCGCGCCCTCGTTGCAAGTCAAAACACGCTGGTAACATAGGGCAAGTCGTCGGGATTCACCGCCATCCTGTTGAAGCCATCTGGGAGAGCGGGTGGCTTCTCGCACGGGTTGCACGCATGCAAGTGGGCAAGTAAGACCTCGTCCACGCGCGTGTTCCTCGCCTTGCGCAAATCCTCCAGGATGCAGCTCTTGCTCCAGTACTTGGCCTTGCCCTCGTGGGATAGGCCGAGTAAGACAGCGAGAGGTCTATCTGTCTGCCTGAGCTCGACGTACGTAGGTCCATCGATCGTCTTGGTGTACTGGGGCACCCACGTGCGGACGTGCTTCATGTCCGCGGCATGATATTGGACCACGGGCTTCGCCTCGATCGTGAACGACATCGGCGCGCGTGAAAACAGCCGCGCGAACCCCCCGCGGCGGCCGAGCGCAACCTCGCTTGATCACTGACGGCTTGTCACTGCAAACGAGCCCGCGCCCAGCCGCAGCGACGAGGCTTGGACCAGCGCTGCCGCTGCCCCCTCCCCCATCCCCCTCTCCCCTCGCGAGCGCATGCGAGCTGTTTTTGTTTCTCCTGCAAGCGCTGAAAGAGAAGAATACGCCATGTGTCCAGAGGACGCCGTGTGTCCTTCAAGCGCTAAAGGAAATCCGCAATAATAATACCATTGTCTCCTTAATCGGCGCGCCGCCCCACCGACCTGAGATCGCGGCGCAAGTGTCTAATAAGCTCGGCTCCGCGAGCCACGACTACTGCGTGCGGGCCCTCTTCATCGGCGGCGCCTTCGCCGCCTGCGGCTTCAGTGCACGAAGCTGGTCACCCTTTTTGATGGGTTTGGTGTTTTCCAGGGGCGGTATTTTCAATGTAAACTTCTCCGCGCCGACCGAGGCGTCAACGGTGTGAAGCTTGATGGCCATGTTAGACTTCTTGGGGTCGGTCACCTCTTTGTCAATGAGCCAGTAGTGCGGCATGAACCCTTCTATCTTCGCCATCTGGTAGCTGCCGCGCGTGTTGTCCGCGATGCCGCCTGGATCATGCTTCTGCAGCTTCATGAAGATGTAAAGCTTCTGCGCGACGCCGTCCGCATTAGTGATCTCCGCGCCGACGTCAATGGCACCGTTTGGAGCTGTATCCGAGAAGGCAACTTTGGTCGAGAAGGGCGGGAAGATCGCGCTGGAGACATCGATGTCAACCTTGGCGTACACGCCGCGGTGCTCCGTGGACTCCGTCACGATGTCGGCCATCTCGCCCGCTGCCCCCTGTAGGTTACCCAATGCATCAAGCGCCGACGTCACGTGACCAACCAACACCATGCGCTGCCAGTCCGAGTTCGAGCGCGGGTCGCACCTGGCACTCCAATCGTTGATGTATTCCTGTTGGGAGGGTGGGATGGGTTGCGGGGGTGGTGGGTTTGGGCGGGGCTGGGATGGGCGGTGGGGTTGGGGTAAAGGTGCGGGATGGAGAACAAAAGGAAAAGAGCACGTGGGCTGCGGCTGTGTAAGACAACCAAGCTCCATTGCCAAAATCGTTGCCCCCTCCCCCACCCCCTCCCCCTATAGTATACACGCCGCCCTCCTGCGGCTTGCAAGCGTGGAAGGGGGAGAGCGCGGCGTCCTTCTTCGGCTCGCGTTTTGTGATCACCTTGAACTCTTGTGCACGCGGGGTGAGTAGCGATTTCAGGAGGTATGCCGAATCGACTGTGTAGTCGCTCCCATCGCCGATGCTCTGCAGCTTGATCTCATCCTCCTTGACTTCCTGCACCTTGTATACAGTTCTCATCTTGGTGACCTCGATGTGGCAATTGGCGCTCACGCCCATACTTGCCAATTTGTGCATCCTGTCGGCGATTCCGCCTACGCTCTGCACTTGTGCAGAAGCCGCAGCTTGCTGCGCGGGAGCTTTGGGCGGGGCTCCTTTCTTCGCCCACGGGGATGTGATCTGCGTGCCTGCAATGGTAGCCAGGTCTTGCACGTACTCGTAGCCGATGTGGTGAAGCGACTCGAACTTTTGGCTCCTGGGGTCGGGCTTCTTCATGCAATGGTGCACGAGCCTCATGCCGAACCTGTTGATCAACGTCTTCACGGCCGCGTTGTCTTCTGACAGGTTGACAGTTTTTGCGATGTCTATAGCCATCGATTTCATGATGTCTGCCTGCGAGATCATGCGCTGCACTTCCTTGTTACTCGTGAGCTTAAGCCCGAAGTCACCCGATGCAAAGAGGTTCTGAAAGTCGCCCGATGCATACTTGCTGTCGGCGCTCATCATTGCCTTTACGCAATCAATGCGGAAGGGAATGCAGCCCAAACCATCCGAGCCGATCACTGCATCAGCCACCGCCGCCAAGACGGGGCCCTGCACAATGCGCGGCTTCTGGCACGAACGGTTGAAAGCCCGAAGCTCCTTCAAATTCGGTGCGTCTGGTCCACCAGCGAGCTTCCTCGCAAACGTCGCCAAACTCTGGATCTCTGAAACGAAATCTGGATTTCTGGATTGCGCTTTTGTTATTGCCCTACCCCACGCGACGTCGGGGTTCAAGATGTCGCCCTCCTTTTTATTGGCTTCGAAGTTGGTGACGATCTTCTGCACGTCCCCGTGCATCTTGAACAAGGTCTCCCACCTAGTCTCATTCATGGAAACCTTCTGCGCAGCATTTCCAGACTCCTGATTGAACGCGGCTAAAGCCAACATAAATGCGGGGGGGGGCGGGGGCGGGGGCAATCGAAAAGTTAAAGGGTGGGCCATCGATTTCACAAACTTAAGCGGGTCCTGGAGCAAGTCTATAATGGCGCCGAATGCGTCTTCAGCCTGCCAGACAAGCACGCCCCATTCAAACCCCTCCTTCGCAGCATCTGCCAACGTGGGGCGCTTCAACCCGATCTTGTGGATGTCAAGCTTCCCGTCGGTACCGAACTCGACGTTATCTGAATCTGTAGGGCTGCCAAACTGAATGCAGCGGGTCGCCTGGGTCGTGTGCGACTTGCTCACGCTAAGGATTTTGATCTCGCCCTCGTCGTATGGCGGCAAGAAGCCGTGGGATTCCTTGACAAGGTCTCCGTTGAACTCGAGTGCCTCGGCGTGGCGCTGGTGAGATGGGGGTGGCATCTCGATGGCAAAGGGCACGCCCGCCTCATCCATGCTGAACCCGTCGCTGCAAAAACTGCGCACCAGCGTGCGCACGTGGGATGGAATTATGCCATCGCCGTACCTGTTCCGCGGGTGCACGGCCACGTAGCGCCCATTCGTTTTCTGGCGCCTCAGCAGACCCTCCTTCCGCAACAATCGCACCGCCTGGTCGCGCAACTGGAGAATCGGGGGGCAATGGCTCAACGTGTACTCCTTGATGATGTCGAAGATCTGCTCCTGGACGCGCTCCACGCGAGCCTGCGTGGTCTCACCCGCCATGGCCCAACTGCAATGCGCGAAACGCAAGGCGGGGGCTGCGCTGAACGCAAGCTTGCAAGGGTGCCTGAAACCTTTGTCTGGGCCAGCGGCAGCACAAATGCATGAAACAACTATTGATTTCGCAGCATGCCTCCCACGGCGCCCGCGCAATATTCCAGATCGGGCACCAAGGTTCTCTTAGGGTTTAGGGTTAACGACATTGGCGTCACAAGTGTTTTGGGCGTCCTGTTCAGCGCGCGCGCTGTTATATATATTGATTGAAAATGCATGCCCATACATGGCGTTAGTTTGCGTAACTGCAGTTATGTGGCACTTACGCGCCACTTATGTGGCACTTACGCGCCACTTATGTGGCACTTACGCCACTTACATAAGTAGCTCGTAAGTAACTTACGCTACTTATATAAGTAGGCCGTAAGTACTTATAAGTAGGCCAAAGTACTTATAATTACTTACGCTACTTATAAGTAGGCTGCCCCTACTTATAAGTAGCTCCTGAGTAACTTAGCTACATATGAGCTACTTACACTACTTATGAGCTGCTTACGAGCTACTTACACTACTTATCAGCTACTTACGAGCGACTTAGGAGCTACTTATAATTGGCGTAACTGCATAAGTACTTATAAGTACCCCCGCCGCGCGCAGAATGAATCGTCGATTCCCAGGAAGATGCGGGAAAAGACGGGAAACAGGGGGGGGGGGGGAAGACGGGACTCCAGAAGATCTGCGGAAGTATGGGGGATCCTGTTCTCTTGTGTGCATTTCCTTGCGTGTCCCTGGGGCCCCTTCACAGACGTGTGGTGGGTGCGCGCCGGGTTGCCGCCGCCGCCCGCGAGGGCTGCATCCGGGAGTGGCTGGAGCGCTCGAGGCGACGCGCCCCTGCTGCCTGCAGCGGGCGGGGCCGCGAGTCGGCGGCGAGAGGCAGTTTTGCGTCGGGGGGAAAGAGGAGAAGGGGGAGGAGGAGGAGGAGGGGGAGGAGGAGGAGCAGGAGGAGAGGGGAGGAGGAGGAGGAGGGCGGGGGGGGGAGGAGGAGAGGTGGAGGAGGAGGAGGAGAGGTAGGAGGGGGAGGAGAGGAGCCGGAGGAGGCGGCGAGAGAATCGCCAGGACGTGCGGTGCCCTGGCAGGGCTCGTTTGGCAAGGGCGCCCTCGAGGGCTAGAAGTTCTTCGCGCTTCGCGGTTCGGCTCCGATCCCTCATCCTCCTCTTCTCTCCTGGGAGGCGGCGCGAAAGCGCGAAGTTATTCGCATTTCGCGCTTCGCGCTTCGCGCAGCGCAAAGCGCGAAGCGCGAAGTTGCAGCGGGCGGGGCAGCGAGTCGGCAGCGAGAGGTAGCCTTAAGTCGGGCTCGTCCCTCTACAGGAATAGTGCAACAATAGTCTTGGGATCGTGTATTTTTCACCATTTTGGAGTTTTGTTTGACTATCTTTTTTATTTTTCGTCGAAGATCTCCCTGTAGGGGGACGCGCCCGACTTAAAGGTAGCCAGGACGTGCGGTGCCCTGGCAGGGCTCGTGTGGACTCCTCCGAATCCGCTTCGACTTCGATGGCTCACGATTCCGATTCGATTCGACTTCGGATGCCGATCTGGGCTCCGACTTTTTTCAAAAGAGGCCCACTATACCTGCCGCTGTCCGCCGATTCGACTTCTCCCGACTTGGCTGCCGATGTCCGCCGGTCCGATTCACCTCGATCGCCGATCCGACTTGTCGATCTTCGATTCTGGGCTCTCCTGTGAGATCTGGGCGAGGCAGCTTCTGTCACACCAGGCAGTGTCGCCCAGTGTCGGGCCCCCGGGGCCCGCACAGGTCGATCCGCTTCGAGACATGCGGCAGACAAGGTGATGGTTCTGGCTGCGATGTTTCGTGATGCGCCGCGTCGACGCGGCGGCCAAGTGGGCCCTGGAAACGACAGGGCCGTTTTTGTTACCGGTTCCGTCTTGACGTTTTTTGTTGCCGGTTCCGACGCCGTTTTTTTACCGGTTCCG